AAAAAAGGAAAATAAGAAAAAAAAATAACAAAAATTATGTTTTTCTTTTAGATCTTGCATGGTTAACTATTCATTTTTTACACGTATAATAATTTTTATATTCAAAAGTTTAATGATGCTTTTTACTATCCATTAACACAACTGAAGACTTTAGTGCAAATTACCAAAAGCAATGAGAAGCCAAAATTTATGTAAGAACTAAAACAAAAAATTTATTTTTATATTTATGGAAGAAGTTATTTCCCCTAATATGAATAATATTGACAATAAGAAAATATAAGAAGAGGATTTCATATCATAAAACAAGCAAAGTATAAAATTTTACATGAAAATTCTTTTTTTGCATGACAAAATATAGTCAATAAAAGATTTCATTAACCTTTTTAAGATTTTATATAATAATAGTTACTTATTTTAAAGAGATGTCTGTTCATGCAAGACAAATAGTATCCATATATGCAGATATATATAAAAACATGTACGACAAATTCTTGTACATGCAGAAAAACCATAAAATAGCTAATAAAGAAAATCTATATCTTCTAAAAGGTATTAGAGATATGCTTATGAAATATGCTTAATAAAAAATTTATATAAAATTGGTTTTGAATTTTTTTTTTTGAAAAAAAATGTAGTGTAATAATTCTTTCTCCTTTATATAATTTTGTGAAAACTATTGAAAAAAGTAATAGAAATTATGGTATATTGATTTATTAACTAGGTGTTCGGTGACTTTGTTAGAGTACTGAACAAACAAATTATTAAAGCGCATGTAGAGGTGTTTCTACGATTTTACTGTTTTTATATATGTTCTTAAATGCTTTGAACGAATGATCCTTAATTATGTGACCTATTTCATTCAGCATTCTTTGATTTCAATAGGCATTTATTCACTTTAATAAAAATCCTTAATTTTATTAAAAATTTAAATCCTTATTGAATGTTGATTAATATTTAATTATAAATTATTTGTTTATTTGTTATGAGTTATGTTCAGGAATTTAAATATATTGCTGTTGAATTAACAAACATGAGCAATTAGTAAAAATGCAAATTAATTATATGAATATTAATTATGTGTAAAATTTTATTGTCATATGTATAAACTTTTCCATCACAAATTAAAAATATAAATATTATGCAAATTAAACTCTTTTACATAAACGTTTTTATCTGTTTAAGATCTCATTTTTATTGGTACTAAATACTACTGTCGATTTTTATTTTACAAATCTTTTTCTTTCCTCAATTAAATCATTTCAAAAAAAATAAATATATTTTTTTTTTTTAAGCAAAAATATAAAAAAAAAATTCAATAATTTTTTTTTTTTTTTTTTTCGCGTGTGCACAACCAACTACGTAATCTTCATATAGCTAGTCCTTTTTATTATCAAAAAGGTTAATGAAGCCTTTTATTAACCAACATTTTAATAAATAGTATATTTTATTTTTTTTTCTTAATAAAAATAAAAAATTTTGAAAAATTTTATAAAATGATTTTTTCTAAATTTATTTATTGTTATGAAAATAATGCTTTACATAAAATCAAAGAGGTTTATAATAATTATATAAGATTTAGTAAGAATAAGGAGAATTTCATATTAAATTAAATGAACATCTCATATTAAAAAAGTAATACATTAATAATAATAAAAAATTTGAACATAACTTTTTTTAAAGGATTCTAAATTTTATATGAAATAAACTATCTATTTTAAATTATTAATATAATTATGTAATTCCATCTTAATAATAAAATTACTTTCGTAGTAGATAGAAATGATGTAGATCACTTTAGATATTCCTTATTAACTAGTTAAATATTATATCAAAATTATTGATATCTCAATAAATAAGTTAGATGCTTAAGGAATATTCTAATAGTCACAATAAGACTAAAACGAGTCAAGAATTTAAGAGAAAGTAATAAAACTATTACAAATCAAGATTTAACATACTAATACATACTATTAGTCAATAAATAGTGTTATCAACTTATTTACATTCGAATTAAGAATGAATAAAATGTAGTTAATAATTTAGTTATACATGTAATATATTTGAGGAAAATACATACATTAAAATGAATACGCCAAAATACATATATTGTATTACATGCTTTATTTTGTTTGTAACCATATATATATATATATATTGGTATATTTATTTTTTTTGGTGATGTGTATATTGAATAATAACAGTTATGTGTTTTGTATTATAACTTAAGGGACATATAATAACATATATATAAAATGGTAAATCTGTGAAAGACTACATTAATAAAAATTTATTTTAATATAAAATAAAATTTACTTTAAATAATTTGTAAAGAAATATGTAAAATATATAAATAAGAACATGAATGAGTGAATGAATAATTTAATAGAATAAAAAAACACATATATATATATATATATATATATATATATAAATGAATGTTTGCAAGTATATGTGTAAATGATTTATCTGCATAAGTATTAATCTGTAAAATAGG